TGTTGTCTCGGATTCTCCAGCATCTGCAGTTCCTACTATCACTGTTCACAGTATTCCAGCTGTGGTCTGACTAGTGTCTTGTAGAGTTTTAGTAAAACCTCCCTATTTTTATACTTCATTCCGTTTGAAATAAAGACCAACATTCCTTTTGCCTTCCTTATTCCCCACTGAACGTGGCCGCTAGCTCTCTGTGATTTGTGGATGAGGATTCCCAAAATAATCTGTTCTGGAGCTTTCTGCAGTCTTCCTCCATTTAAACAATATTCACCTGCTTTATTCTTCCAGCTAAATTGCATACCATCATGTTTTCCCACATTGTATTCCATCTGCCAGGTTTTTACCCACTCCCTTATTCTGTCTATATCCCTCTGCAGACTCTGCGTGCCACTCTCACCACTTACCCTCCCACCTGTTTTAGTGCCATCTGTAAACTTGGTGATTGTACATTCACTTCCATCAGCCAAACCATTAATATTGACTGTAATTAACTGTGGCCCCAGCACTGATCCCTGTGGCACTCCACTCGTTACAGGGTGTCATCCTGAAAATGCTCCCCCTTATCTCAACAATGAGTCAGCCAGTTCTCTATTGATGCCAACATACTATACCCAACACTGTGGGCTCTAATTAAACAGACAAATGTGAGATATCTTATCAAACACCTTTTGAAGCCAAATATATTTCATCCATTGCTTACCCTTTATCTATTCTGCTTATAATGTCATCAAAGAACTGTAATAAATCTGTCAGGCATGATTTCCCCTTTATGAAGCCGTGCTGACTCTGTCTGATCATGTTATGTATTTCTAAAGGCACTGGAATTGCATCCTTTATCATAGATCTAGTATCTTCCCAAACTAAGCTAATAAAAATATTTACTTGATGTTTTCACATCATATATTTCCTACTCTCTAGCTGAATGGTGTGAGAGGGAGAGAGAGAGGGGATTAAATGCCCAGAGACAGTCATGTGTTCCGAAAAGATCCCAGAAGATCCCTCTCATGTGATTAACATTAAATTGAAGTTTAAAAAAATTCATTCATTACCATGGGCATCAGAGATGAAGCATTTATTGTTCACTTCCAATTGCCCTTGAGAAGGCTGTGGTGAACTTGGCCAAATGTTTATTTTCCATAAGAATTGCAACAATTCTAATCACACCAAATTCAGTACTTGTATCATTTAAACTAGCTGGAGTTAAAATATAAAAGTGGGGATGTTTTTGCTGCAGTTGTACAGAGCATTGGTGAGACTCCTGGAGGATTGTGAACAGCTTTGATCTCCTTACTTGAGAAAGTAGATAAGTATTTGAGAAGCAGTTCAGAGCAGGTACGTTGGGCTGAATCCTTGGGGTGGGAGGGTGGAGTTATCATATGAGGAAAGATTTTATATCCATTTAAATTTAGAAGAAATGGCACGATGGATCAGTGGTTAGCACTGCTGCCTCACAGCACCAGGGACCCGGGTTCGATTCCACCCTCAGGTGACTATCCGTGTGGAGTTTGCACGTTCTCCCTGTGTCTGCGTGGGTTTGCTCCGGTTTCCTCCCACAGTCCAAAGATGTGCAGGTTAGGGTGGATTGGCCATGCTACATTGCCTGTAGTGTCCATGAATGTGTAGCTTAGATGGGTCTGGGTGGGCTGCTCCAAGGGTCGGTGTGGACTTGTTGGGCTGAAGGGCCTGTTTCCACACTGTAGGGATACTATGATTCTAATAGGAGGTGATCTTACTAGGACATGGATGATCCTGAGGGTACCTGACAGGGTGGATGCTGAGGCAGTGTTCCCCTCCTCATGGGAGAGACTAGAATTAGATGATGCAGTTTTAAAATTCTGTAAGGAGTCTCTCATTCAAAACAGAGATGAAGAGAACTGTTTTCGCTCAAAGAGCCAGGAGTTTGTGAAACATTCAGAGATGGGGAATTGTTACAGAGCAGATCCCCCCATGCCTACTCCAGCTTGTTGAATGAACAGCTTTCCCTCTGTACCAATCTCCTGCTCTCTCCACATTATTTTTATCCAAATAAACACCCAATGCAGTGGAGGCAGGGTCCTGAGTATTTTTATGGCAGAGGCTAATGGATTCTTGATTAATGAGCGAGTCAAAGGTTATTGGTGTAGGCAGGAATTTAGACTTGACGCCACAAGCCTTTGAGACACTATCTTTTTGAGTCACAAGGTTGAGGGGCTGAATGGTCTACTCCTCCTCCTAATTCATAGATTCTTATAAAAAGATTCCACTTCCAAGTCTCCAAAATCCTCAACAAGGTTAACACTGTTCTTTTGAGGAAGGAAACGATTTGATAAACCATGTTTAGGAACAAAGATAGTGGCTGATATTATTCCATTATTATATCAGTTCCTTGACATTCAGACCAGGACCGGGACAGAGGGTGGGATTGAGGGAGGCTGGGATTGAGGACGACTGGGATTAATGGAAATGGATTGGGACATACTGAGATTAGAAAGAGTCTGGTGGGTCAGAGAATGGGAATGGAGGAGAGACTGGGATCGAAAGAGACTGGGTTTGGAACAGAGACTGGGATTAGAACTGGATTTGGAGAGAGATTGGATTTGGGAGAGACACTGGATTTGGAGAGAGGTGGGGATTGGGAGAGACTACATTGGGAGAGAAACTCAGATTGGAGAGGAGACTAGGATTGAGAAAGAGACTGGGATTGAGAGAATCTCTGGGATTGGATAGAAACTGGGATTGGAAGAGGGGCTAGATTTGGAGAGACTGGGACTGGGAGGGAGACAGGGATTGGGAGAGAGAGAGTGGGATTGGGAGAGAGAGTGGGATTGGGAGAGAAGGATTGGGAGAGAGAGTGGGACTGGGAGGAAGAGAGGGATTGGGAGAGAGACTGGGATTGGGAGAGAGAGTGGGACTGGGAGGGAGGGATTGGGAGAGAGATTGGGATCAAGAGAGAGGGATCGGAAGAGAGATTGGGATTGGGAGAGAGTGGGACTGGGAGGGAGGGATTGGGAGAGAGATTGGGATCGAGAGAGAGAGAGGGTTTGGGACAGACTGGGCTGGTAGTTTCTGATAGTGAACCCGGATTCCCTCGCACGGTCTGCTGATTCGGATTAGGATTCGCTTCGGTTGGATTTTGGGAACAGGATGAAGTTGCTGCCCGGGGCACCGCAAACACAATAAACAAACAGAAAAATCCCGAGGAACAGGAAACATCTCGCTCTCACCTGGCTCACTGGCTGTGTTTCTCTGGCCGGCAGTTTCGGAGATTCCAGCTGCTCATCCGTACTCAGGCTCGGATGGAGCTTCCAAATCACCCCGGGAGCTGCGATCCTACAGCTACGGAATATTCCCTGCCGCTTCTCTCCGCGTTCCCCTGCCTCTGGCTTCTCTCTCTCCCTGTCTGTCTCTGCAGCCCGCCCTGATTTTTCAATCTGATAATTACATTCCCCCACACACCAACAAATCTGTTTTTGGGGAGGCATCCACTGGCCAATAGGAAAACGGTGAAGTGCAAACTGTCTCACATAGTAAGAGAGAGAGAGAGTGACAGAAACAGAGAGAGATAAAGAAACAGACACAAACAGAGAGAGGGACAGAGATGGAGAAAGATAAAAGGACAGACAGAGGAAAAAGAGACAGAGAAAGAGAGTGACAGAGAGGGGGGGACAGAGACAGGGAAGGACACACACACAGTGACAGAGGGTGAGGGACAGAGAGAGAGGGGAACAGAAAGAGACACGGGCACAGCGAGAGTTACACACTGGGAGACACTCACTGTCAGACAGAGAGAGATAGACAAATCCACACACACAAAGCTTCAGTGAGGGACTTAGGAATACAGGGAGAGGAAAATACATACAGAGACTCACTTAGTGACGGGGAAAGACACCCAGGGAGACATAGTGCCAGACAGGTATGGAGAGAGAGGGGCGCAGAGTGGCACATACACAAAGGGGGACACAGGGAGAGGGAGGGAATAGAGACGTACAGGGAGATAGAGGGACACACACAGACATGCTGAGGGAGAGACACATGTAAAAGTCCAGAAAATGACATATACACACAAAGAGAAATAAAGAAAACGAACTGATTAAGACAGAGAAATATACACAGGGATAGAAAGACACACACACTCATACACACACACACATACACACAGAAATGTACACAGGGACATAGACTGAGACACTCTGAGGGGCAGAACCAGAAATTGAGACATTAACTTCAGAACTGTCACCTTCTGTTGTGCCACACAGATAGAGAATGACACACTCACATGCACAGACACAAGCTGAGGGAGAAAAAGACGGACAAACACACACACAGACATACATGCGCACACAGATACACAAATGCACAAGACAGACAGACACACACACACACACAAACACACACAGCAGACACACAGAGGTGTATATATTAAAGGACAGAGTCCAGTGGCATTTACTTTCAAAGCAACACTTGACAGACCCAAAATATCATGGGGCATATAAATCACGTTTTGCTTTTAAAATAATGCTTTGGGGTCTAACATTCCCGATGGTCACCCAGGTCAGTATAGTCCTGAGGTTTATAGAACTCTTTCACGTTGGACCAGAGACTACAGCTCCTGTCTAAGAAAATAGGAAGAATCTAGAATCAATGTTTGTTTACAGAGCAGAGTGCACTTAATGTACAGATACCTGTCACTGAGCACAAGGTTTCAGAGTATATTTGCATGGATTTTTTTAGAGGGAACACACAGTTTCGGAGTGTGTTTAAGACTAGGACTTCCTCTCAGGAACTTTGACAGCATATTAAATGAAAGATTGCGTTGCCACTGGAAGCTGTGTGTGTTTCAGATTCAAACATGTTTATTCCATTTCTCTCTCTGATCTGATGTCTCTTTTTTAATTCCTTCTTTCTGAGCAATGCACTCACATCTGACTGATAACAGAACTCTTATCTAAGCCGTACAGAGAAAGCACCGGGTTTGGTAAGACAGAAAACCGCCCTGCTCCAAGGAAGCCGAGAGATAGACCAAGTGAAACTGAGAGATAGGGCAGAAAGAAGGAAGGAGAGAGCAGCAAAAGCAAAATAGCAAGGAAAGAGAGGCAGAAGGAAGAAGATATGACGGAAAGAGAAAGAAGACAGTCATGTTTATAACAAACAGCAGCCGAGGTATTATTTCAATGAAATTGCGCTCTTAATTTGTGCTTAATATAAACAGGTCCGAAACAATCCATCCGAGTTTATTAACCCTTGTGTACCGCAATTTCTAAAATTTTAAGAATATTCTACAGATTCACAAAGAATCCCAGGGGGCAATGTTTGTGTAAATTACAAAAAAAAACCACAGATAGCAAGATTCACTCAAATAGAGATATTCTTCTCTTTCTACGTCACACGCAAGCAAACATTCATAGAGCCCACAGATATAGGCATCTGGACAAACAAACCCCACACCCATACCCACAAACACAGACAGACAGATGGACACACACACACTCACACACACACACAAACACAGACAGACAGATGGACACACACACACACCCACAAACACAGACAGACAGATGGACACACACACACACACACACAAACACAGACAGACAGATGGACACACACACACACACACACACCCACAAACACAGACAGACAGATGGACACACACACCCACACACACCCACAAACACAGACAGACAGATGGACACACACACACACACACAAACACAGACAGACAGATGGACACACACACACACTCACAAACACAGACAGACAGATGGACACACACACACACCCACAAACACAGACAGACAGACACATACACACACTCACAGACGCAAGCAGATAATGCACACACCCACAATCACTTACAGACACAAACACACACTTACACAGACAGATACACACAAACACCCCACACAGACAGAGACACAGACAGACACTCATACACCAGCACACACATGTATCCACATTCACAGACAGACAGACACAGACACTCATAGTCCCAGATACAGACTGACAGATGCACACACAGTCACAATCACAGACAAACATTCAGACAGACGGACAGACACACACTCACACACACACTCACACAGACAATCTTACACACACACACACAAACACACACACAGACACACACTCACACAGACACACACACTCACACACACAGCCACACACACTCTCACACACAGCCACACACACTCTCACACACACACACACACACACACACACACGGACATACACACTCTCACACACACACACACTGACACACACACACACACACAGACACACACACACACACACACTGACACTCACACACACACAGACACACACACACACACACATGCACCCACACAGACAGACACACACACACACAGACACACTCACACACACACATGCACCCACACAGACAGACACACACACTCTCACACACACACACACACACACACACACGGACATACACACTCTCACACACACACACACTGACACACACACATACACTCACACACACACACTCACTCACACACACACACTCACTCACACAGCCACACACACTCACACACACACATGCACCCACACAGACAGACACACACACACAGACACACTCACACACACACACTGGATATCAACATGTCATGCCTTGCTCTACATTACAGCAGTGAGTGTACATCACTCTGCTCCTGTGAGTGACTCTACTTGAAGAATGTCCCATATAATATGGAGAGTAATGCCCTGGTACAGCTCCCTGTGCTATGGGATGTAAGAGGTGAAGCCGTTATAGTCCTACTCTCTCTATCTCTTTCTCATTAGAGAGATGTGACTGGTGGTGGTTTAACCTGAGGGTCACCACACCCCAGGCGAGGGGAGGGGTTGAGAAGGAGAGTTCTTCATGCTAACTTCAGCCAATGTGGGAATTGAACCCATGTTGTTAGCATCGTTGCTATTGAGGAAGTCCAGTAAAGATTCCTGGGATGGCAGGACTGGATCAACTGGACTTGAACTCACTGGAATTTAGAAGAATGAGGGGAGATCTTATAGAAACATATAAAATCCTGATTTAAATGGACATGCTAAGTGTGGGAAGAATGTTCCTGATGTTGGGGAAGTCCAAAACTAGAGAATCACAGTCTAAGAATAAGGGGTAAGCCATTCAGGACTGAGATGAGAAAGAATTTCTTCACTCACAGTTGTGAACCTGTGGAATTCTCTCCCCCAGGAAGCTGTTGGGGATGGTTTGTTAGATATATTCAAGAGGGAGCTGGACATGGCCCTTGCGGTTAAAGGGACCAAGGGATATGGGGAGAGGGTGGGAATGGAATACTGAGATTTCATGGTCAACCTTGATTATACTGAATGGCAGTGCAGGCTCGAAGGGCCAAATGGCCTACTCCTGCACCTATTTCCTATGTTTCTATTCCGCATTGCAAACTAACCATGCAAGCTAACTGATCAGTTTGCCTGAGAGGCACCCTTCACAACTTCCCACCTCACCCGAGGCATGATGACCCTCAGGTTAAACCAGCACAAGTCATTTTTTTCTCTTTCTCTCTCTCTTGAATGAGCAAGTAGTCCTATCGTGCAGTAAGGCTATGGTGACTGACAGATGTACAGTATAAGGTGGAGGGCAGTGTGCTTCCTGGCCTCTCTGATGATATCACATGGAAAATGATCAAGTGCATCAGCAGGAAATCCATTTCCTCCATACACCCCTTTTCTCACTCCCTTCATTGTCCATCTCAACCCATCTTAGAATCCTACCCTTACCTTGGTGATAGCGTCTCCCTGCGGCTCTCCCATCCCTCTCTCACTGTGCCCCCATCGCAGGGATCACGCCAAATTCTCTGGATGGTCAGCTGATTGTTATGTTAGCTCAGTTGGTTGATCAGTTGGTTTTGGTGATGTAGAACGATACCGAAAGTGTGGGTTCAATTCCTATACTAACTAAGGTGGTCAATTTGATCTGTCAGCGAATCAAGGGTGATGGGGAAAGGGCAGGAAAGTGGACGTGAGGAATGTTGGATCAGCCATGATCCTAGTGATGGCAGACCGGGCTAGAGGGGTTGAATGGCCTACTCCTGTTCCTATTTCCATGGTCTTATGGCAGTCTTGCCCATCATATAGGTGAGGCATAAACTACAAACATATGAACCAGTGAATTAGGAGCAGAAGGAGACCCCATGAGCCTGTTCCTACACCAGTAAGATCACAGCTGATCTGTTTGTGTTTCAAATTCCCATCTAAACCCCAATAACCTTTATCCTTCTGTCTACCACCAGTCTATCCACTTCCACCTTCAACATACTCAATGAACCACCTGCACCACCTTCTGCGGTAGAGAGTCACACAACCCTCTGAGAGAAAAATTCCCCTCATTTTAAAACAGTGCCCCCTGGTTCTGGGCTGACCCACATACGGAAACATCCTTTTTTCCACCCACCTTATC